GTCGGACGAAGTCCAGTCTCCTGGTCTTCCAGGTTGAGGGTTCGACTAGAATTTGCGTTTCAGTCGGTAAAAAGTGGTAGAGGAGTAATTGATCCAAGTAAATGGGCCTCCACTTCACTTCACCCTCTGCGTTGCGGCTAGGTTCTTGTCAGAACTAAAAGCTGTGGTTGAGAACCCTAATCGTTCTGCTTAGTGGCTGGACATCCAGCAGTACCCGTCATACGTTTGTCAATTATTCACCTGGTTCTGATTGGGTGCATAAAGCTTCACTTTCCCTGGTTTGACTTCTGTCCAACTCGCTAACTGGACTTGAACCCTGCCCCATATTACTATCAGCTGTATGAAGGAAACCCGTTGCTATTCACGGCGTCTGTCCCGGCCGCATACGAACAAGGATCTTCCGTTGCGCTTCCTTGGTCGAATACAAAAATTGACGACATCTGGGCGAATGTGGATGCAGCTGGTGGGGCCAAAGCAGACGAGATGATCAACACAGACGATTTGCTCGATCCGGCCGACCGAGACAGTGCCACTGTGGCCGCTTGCGGCAAGGAGGCAGCTGCACCAAATGGTCAAGTTCCGAAGAAAAAACGCGCTTGCAAAAACTGCACATGTGGACTGGCTGAACAGGAACAAGCTGAGGAACAGGCTAAGGTCAATACGGCTGGTGTCAAGTCATCTTGTGGAAATGTGAGTTTTTTAATTGACCGAGGCGATTTCAGTGTGTTGCTTCTCCTTGTACTCACACGAACTCGTAGTTGATGCCGAGATTTGGACCAATCTGGCTGACTTGGAATTAGTCTTTGACTCTGTTAATCACACTACCGNACACTACCGCGGTTCGTATCGTCAATTGAGATTATGTCCCCGGTTGCATTCGGACTAGTCATTGAAGAAAAAGGGGAGTCATTTTGAACTCTCTGTTCCATGCTAAGTATGTTCACGTTTCCTCATGTAAACATTTTGACGACGGAGAAGATTATGTAATCAGCCGACCGGGTGTGCATTAACAGAGACTTGATTCTGCCTGATGAATGCTATTTCTACGACCGAATGAATGCTACCGTGTCGTATATTGGAACGTATCAATAAGCGAGACCTGTCCAGGCTTGCAAAGGAACAACAACAACGAATGCTCTATCAATGCCCGGAGAACTAAGGCAAGCCTTATTTTTAGGCACAGCATATGTTCGATTCAGTTCAGTTTGTGCAACCATGGACCATGCACGTTCGTGCGCCGGTTTTGGTTAGTCTTTTGGTGGCCCATTTTGATGGAAAGTAGGAGAAAGACAGAAAAGTTGCAAGAAGATTCAAACAGAAAATAGAGAACTTCAGTGGGCTGAGGTTGCAAAGAAATTGAGATGGTGCAAAAACGCCACTGTTTACGACATTTATTGTCTGTAATCATCGGTTACGATCATCCCGAGGTCCCATTCAGTGAGCCTTACAGGACTTATGCGACCCAGTCGCCTGGTTAGGTTTTTCACACTCTCGTGCCAAGTCTTAGTTTGACCACCCTCGACCTTTTCCTGCCTTGGGAAACATCACGCACCGTGGAAACTTATTTGGTGATATGTGCAATACATGTTCCAAATAGTGTACTCTATGGAAGTCGACCGCTGGTTTCAGTGGACGACTACAATCACTGAAACCTCTGCGCCTCAGTATTGCTCGTCCGGTTGACCCGCCAGATTCGTGCAGTGCTGCGTAGACAGCAGTATTCAAACCGACCGTGACTTCGTCGGCCTCTAGTGACCGAATATTGTGGTTACTCGTCAATTTGGTTCCCCCACAAATTTCGTCCTTCCTCCCATTTGCGATTCCTGTAGTTTGTGAACCCCATGGGAAGAAGCGAGTCTTCACTTCTAACTCCATGTTATCCACTAATTCTGTATTTCAGCCCGTTCCATTCGTCCAATTACTCTTTTCTACTTCATGGATGTTTGCGAACCAACCGAGTCGGTCATTATTCCAAACTTTGTCCCGAAAGTGTGCTCCGGAGTTATCCCCTGCCCTAAACCGTTTTCCACTCTTCTCGTGGTCACATGCTCTTCCTTGTTCTGCGGAGAAATGTTAATTTTTCCTATCCCAATAACTAATTTCTTCCATTGTCTCGGACCGGCTGTGTGGGTTAGCCGAACGCGGTTTGCTGAATGGCCGTCAGTATGGGTTTCGCCCTCGTCGTCTCGTCTTGTCTTGCATTCTGCGTTTGCTACACTCGTTAACCACAGAGAAACCCACTTCGTTTCGCCTAGCATTTCTCGAACTTTTCGACCGATGACGGTCCGCTGTCGAAATCATCCGTGTGCGGATTCCACTGAATCGTTTCTTGATTACGGTGGTTTCCTCAGCAATCAAACCATATCTGGATGATTCGATGGGGTTCTCTTTCGGCCGTTCCCTGTGAATGAAGGTGTGTTTTGCTATTGAGGTTTCATACTTGACTCAAGACTTCTTTTTTACTGACGAAATTTTGCCCCAAACCAATTCCATTCATTATTTTACTGACAATGCCATTGCTCTCCACGCACCCCAAGACATCAGTGTCAGTGGTGCGTCAATTACCTCCCCCAATGCTCCATTCGCTCTCTCTCTCTCTCTCTCTCATTCTTTTCAATTGAGTCTTGAATCGCTTCCCGTTTGTTCAGCATATTTTCCCCGGTTTAATTAAAAAAATCTCGTTCGATTCATCTCCACCATCTTTCTCCTTTCATTCACAGTTCAAATTCACCGAATGCTCCAGTAACGACGGCATTCACCTGTGGGGCTGGGGCTTCGTATTCTACTCTTTCTCTTCCTGCTCTCGTTCAGTATAACGCCATCTACGAGCTGCATTTAACCGCCAGTGTACAATAGCTTTTCCATCATCAGACTTTTGCTTTGTTATCACTATTCTACCGTTACTGTTCGTTGTTCTGAACTCGCATTTGCGGTTTCCCTCACCTTATCCTGTTCCCCTCGATCCTGATCGCTGTTTAGAACACGTATTGCGCATGTCCAGTCATCGTCTGCCGCACCGCACCTTATTCGCAGTTACTGCTCCAGGTTGGGAGAAACCGCGTGGAGGTTAACGGATGGCGTGGAAGCAAGACATGAAGAAATGCACAGAGCCATTAGGTCGAGTAGGTGTCTCTCGCCTTCCAGGCTGGGGTCCAAAAGACTCAGCAACTGGTTGGTTGGAGACATTGCAGGATATGGCGACTAACCGACAGCAGTGGCGTTCTTGTTGTCATTTCTTATTAGGTCAGAGTGCTTGAAAAGGTGTGCGTGCACACTTAGACTGTGTACTCTGTGTATTGACCATAGAGGTTCACCATCTTTGCCTCTCTCCAATTAGGTCCAATCCCTCTCCTTCTTGTGCTTCATCACTTGATTTGTGTACATTGTGAGCTTGTCAGCGATCAGTGAAGTTTGCTTCACTGTATCTCGTTGCTCGATGATGATGATGACACAGACAGTCCAAGAAGCTTTGAACAGCTTGGCGATCGAGGTATTCAGATATTGTATGTGCTTTGCACCTTCCAATTGCAAAATGCTTGTTCAAGACTGGCAGGAACCTGTGCTTGCACTCACCCTCTGTGGTGATCAGCTGGGAGTAGTTGTGAACTTAAAGTACCTCGGGAGCTTGATCGCAGCTGGTGGTAGTGTTGGGGACGAGATCACATCACGAATAGCGAAAGCTAGAGCACCTTTCGTCAACCTGCCACACCTGTGGCGCCGCCATGACATCCGACTGTCCCTTAAGGGAAGGATGTACATCGCCGCGGTTCGTAGTGTTCTGCTTTACGGTTGAGAGACTTGGCCTCTCCGAGCGGAGGATGCTAATCGACTTTCTGTATTTGACCACCGATGTCTCCGTAGCACGGATCTGATATTGTGAGCTTGATGCACAATTTCCGCCACAATATCCATTTCAAGTAGGAGTGTGTGTTTGGCAAGCGGTAGGGTTCGCCAGCTTATCGTCCCGAAGGACGTGCGTTCGAATTCTGCCACTGCCGCCTCACTTTTCCTCTGTTCCCCCAATGGGTACCACGTGGTGGCTCCGCCTTTCTAGAATTGCACGCATTCGCCAAAACAAGTGAAAGAAATTCCTGCGAAAGGCCGCAACGCGAGTTTTATGGCTCCGTCGAGTTAAATCACTCCTGCTTGTTGTATCAGACCGCACCTTGACTGTCGTTTTCGATTGATTTTTACAGAACTATAGAATGTGTTTATGTTTTGCGTTCGTTTTTGAGACCTATCGTGGTAACGTTTCCAATTTTTTTTGATCGACCAACCATACCTAATCGTATGTCTGATTTTCCGCAGTGTTATCTGGGCGACGCCTTCCGTTGTTCCACATGCCCCTATCGTGGTCTTCCACCGTTCAAACCCGGTGAACAAGTTCGTCTGCCGGACGACTTTCTTCAGTCGGACATTTAACATTACTCTGATTCACATCTGTCTCATGTGTACGACCGACGATTGCGTCGCACGGGAGCTTCGGCCTCGGAGAAGAAAATCTGCAACACATTTGTTCTAGTCACGCTGTGGCCTACTCGAGTTTCATCTCAAATCATGTGTGTACACGTAATGTAATATAATAATAACGCCCCACTGGTCAAACTTTTCTCAACACTTTCATGCACGGGTATCGTTAGTCTCAGTTTGTACAATCGGTTGAAGTAGTAGGAGAAAGACGGGAAATTTGAAAATAAAGTCGGAAAGAAAATGGAGAATCTCAGTGGATTAAGGTTGCGTAGAAATTAAGATGCACGAACGCCAGTGTTAGACGGAATGCTAGCTCCTGACTGACGGAAACTCCGATTGAGGTGATTCCTTGTGAGCCAGATTTATTCCATCATTTAACCTATTCCATTGGGAGATAAAGTTACCGGAAGAATAATTTGTCGTTATGCAGTGCAGCGAGCATATTGAAGGCGCGCCAAATTGACAAGACAGTAAAATCGGCGTTCCCTATCTGTAACCCTATTGAACAGCCATACTTTGAAGTTAGCGCACAGGTTGAACTGTATCAGCTTGCAGTTTTTACAGGGCACCGCTCAGCTCTTGCGGGCCAAAACTGCTCTGTTCACGTACCCATGAAGTATTAGGTTCTTACTTTGCAGCTGCATTTTCCGGAGGCTATAGCGAACTACAAGCTTACCAGTATACAATACCGAGCAGTCCGGATAAAACTGACAACCTTAACAACAGGCGCATAACACCTAACTAGGCAATCGATCGCGGACGATTAGCGCGGTACGTTTTTGTCTGGTCAGAGATCCCACTGTAACAAAAGGAAACAAACGAGGCCAAATATCGTGACACGTGTGAATCTGGCTCAATATTATCACCCTCATTCTGTTGTCCCACAGGTGGCAGCCAACTCCGTTACCCGTTTACTTCCTCTGATTGAATATATAATAACAATTTTCAGGAAGGGGAAGCAACCGGTCAGAGGATTGTCATACAACACACGGAGAATGGGGAAAGTCAGGTGGCGGGATTCGTTCACACGTCCTCCCGAGGCGATAAGTCACTACTTGACTGCCACTACAAGGGTTAAGGGAGCGTTCTCGCAGATGACGTCCCAGTTAAACCGGGGGTGCCACTGTACATTGTATTACCAAGTTTATTTATGGATCTATCATCTACGAAGCTGAATTAAGATCACGTAAAAGACAGTCGATAAAAAGTTTGTTTCGAGTTTCGTACACAAAATCCGCCCCGAATAGAGAGAACGATGCCGGTTCGTGGCCGAAATATTTGATTCTCACAAGCGCAGCTAACCGTGAGCAATCGAGTAGGGCTCATCTATTCATGCATATATATTCTCTCTACCGGTCCGGTCTTCTCGGGGTACCATATCTAGAGTTGGCTTGACGTGATCATATGACCTGTGTTCTAGTTGCTAACAGTGTCAGGAACGCCGATGGCATGCTGCCTGTTTGTTACTCAGATATCCTTTGTTCTACTATCATTCGGTACGGGTGATAAGGGAGATAAACTCGCAGTATGCTGTCCGATGCAATGCAGATATGTCGGGATGGCAGTTACCATTGAAGAGAACGAAAAATAGTATGAACACGTTTGACATGAGGAGGAGCAAGAATATTGATATGCAACGCGAAATACAAAAAATAAAATCGCATAGTGGGTACTCAAAATGAAAACGCAAAACAGGTCACAATTTTTACACATGAGGGCAGGGGACAGTGATGAGCGAAACAGATTTGCAAATCTGCTGCCGTGGTCAAACAAGATACGTTTAGTGGGCTGAGCGAAGTGATAAGAAAACATCTAAATATAATCATCCTCCGGATCGTCCGAGAAATGCGCATCTGAGGTGGGATAACTCGGGGGGAGCGATGCTGGTGGTGGCACGGGACCCGGTTTGCGTGTTCGGGGCTTCGAGATTCGAGGCATATAGTCTGCGACCGTGGGATCGATGTCTGTCGATTGTTGTCTCTGATCCACGTATGACTCTGTCGGACCAGCATAAATGCCCAAGTTATCGTTGAATCCAGAAGCAGTGGGTGCGTTCGAGTATAAAGTGTAGAAGTCGTTGAAATCCAACCTGATGCGTCAGAGTGCAAAAAGAGGGCGCGAAGTACCGTGATTACGAAGAACATGCAATAAAGCTGATCAGAGAAAAAAGGCGTTATTATTATTATCCACTAACCTGGAAACCAAACTGGTTAGTTCTTCACGTTCTTTTGAGTAGTGACGAATCTTGTCAATAAACTCGACCAGTAGCCCGTTGAATTTTTGATCGAAGTCAATAACTTTCTGCGCGAACGCCTCTGTGGAGCTCAGACGCCCGTAGTCCTCACGCGTAACCTGTGGGGCAGAAATGTGACAATGATGATAGTCATTTGCTTTATCTTGATCGCGAACGAAACAGCATGCCGTCAATGATCGATCAATGGAGGAGTAAAAATATTTATAAAT